ACCCTTCCTTTTGGCAGAGACTCCTCCAAGGCCTCGCCACACTTTGGACGAACTCAATCCTCAGAAGTCCAAACACCAAGGGGTCAGAAGAGCCAAGTGGCACCTGGGTATTCGCAGCCAAAGCAGACCCAATGACATCATGACAGAAGTGTGCCGTGCCATGAAACAGCTGGACTATGAGTGGAAAGTAAGAGATCAACACAATCAATCGATCACTAGTTGAAAATAAATATTGATGTATTTTTTTCTTCAATCAGGTTGTGAATCCATTCTATTTACGAGTGAGAAGAAAGAATCCAATTACTGCAATGCAAACCAAGATGAGCCTACAACTTTACCAGGTGGACAGCAGAACCTACCTCCTTGACTTTCGTAGCATAGATGGTAAGATAAAAAGTTATGATACAACTAAATGTTACTGGAGTTCAAATTTAAGTTATGCGTATGTAATAATAATTGATAATAAATAAATAAATATAGCCGCAAGCAGCGATGATCAGCCCTTGCGTGCTCCTATGCCGCGCCCCGCAAATGCCGCACCCCGTAAATGCCACACCCCGTAAACACCACGCCCTTCAGAACACCACACCCTGCACTAACGCTAATAACCCTAAACTCCAACCTAACCCGTCGTTATCCTAACCATAGACCCAACCCTAACCCTAACACTTAACCTAACCCATTAATTAAAAAAAAAAATTGCATGTGTTTATTTAAAAAAAAAAAAAGTCAGACTTCCGGTTTATAAGGAGGTGTGGTCACAATATACATTTTTGTTCTTATTGCCCTGATGCATCTGGCTACCAAATTTGGTTTAACTACGTAAAAGTTTGTGTAAGGACGTCCCATTGGCAAGGACAGAATTTTTGCTTGTTGCCATGGCAATACAATGTAAATGGGTTGTGGGCGTCATTGAGATTTTTAATCGAGACCCTGTCACAAATGTGGATATCAAATTAAGTATATGTATGACAAATAAAACCTAATCATTTTATACAGATTTTCTAGGGGGCACTATTGCACCCACTTTTCTTACATCAGTCTGTTCATGGTCAGAGTTTAAACCCACGATTAAAATTTGAGTGAAATCGGCCAAAGTTTGTGCCAAAATTTGTCAGTTTTACCAATGGAATAACATGTAGAGCTTATATCATCGCTGTGGCAACGCCATAAAAAATATGACATACGTGTCATTGACTTTTGGATTGGGATGCCAAAATAGAATTTTGTGCAAAATTTCAGACATTTTTGAACAACTATTTGGTAACTATTTTTTTTCTCCAATATTAAATTTTGTTTCAATCTGTAGGGGGAGCTAATGCGCCAAATTAATAATTTTCACATTAAGGATCTTAAGGGCAGAGAGTTTAACAACTGTTTCAAATTTCATTGAAATCGGAGTTTGAGCAAATGGGAAGAATTTGTTAATGTCCAAAATTGTGTGCATTTTTTGTTGCTTCATTGCTCAGAGATCGTAAGACGTGTGTGAAAAATTTGGATAGCTTTTGATATTTCACCTCTTGAGATAATGTGGACCAAATTTGAGCTCGTTTGGATGAGCGCCCTCGGAGGAGTTCGTAAAGCTTAGCAAAGTTTAATCCAATATTGCTGCCCCCGGTGGAGCGCACTGCATTGTGTAATAATATTTTTTCCTTGTCTTGTCATGGTCGACTTCTGTGTTAAATTTCATGATTGTACATGCAATTTTTTTTTTGTGTCATTCCTATACCCTAATGCACTGGGGGTGCTGACAAGCCATTTTATTTATTTATGGAAAATGGAAATAGCCAAAAGTTAGAGAATCGCGAGTTTTAACAGATGGCAAAATTTACAGGATTTTTCGTCTTTGTACAGTGGGTGAAAAATGGGTGAGTTGGTTAGGAGAAAAATAATAATAAGAAAGAAAGAATAATATTCTGATAAGAGAACAATGTTCCAACAACAAACAACAAACTATATATTTTCGGAAACCTCTGGTGCATTGCTACATCATGGCAAGGATCCCTGGTCACTACAGGCGAGTCACATCGTGCCATTTAATTTTCTGGCCACTAGGAGCATCGCTGTGCGATACTAATTGGCCCTACGCCAGCTTCTGGCGCTCGGGCCTAATAATATTGCAACCAATCACTCAATATGAACACTCGGACATTCGAATAAGGAGGGTGAAGTATTTTTTAATATGGCATGACCAAAGGGAAGGGAAGAAAAGTATATAAAGTGTACATGCCACAAGATATCTCATCCACAGTGCACAACAACCTTCTTTTCTCTTTTAACCTAGCTAAATGCTCCCACATGCTTTATATCAGATTGGAAGATTACTGAAGAATGCAATAATCATAATAATAATAAGTTGGTTTAACCACTGCTTTTACTGACAAATTTAATCTTATAGTATAATAGTGTTTAATAAAAAGGAAACCCTTTAGATTTCACCTTATCTTGTACAATTTGTGATTTGTCCAACCCAAAAAAGTCAGTTTGAGGGACATTGCTGTTGTAGCTGTTAAATTGTCTATTGTGCCAAATCCCTTGTTACCTGTCTCCTGCAGATGATATTTTGGAAACAAAATCTGGAACTGCTACCCCTCATCGGTCTGGCTCTGTGGGCAACTACCGCACCACTATGAAGACTGATGTAGATGGGGCAGAGGCCCCTGGCACTTCTAGCACTGTGCACCCTCTCAAGGTGGCAGAGGGCTCTTTAGCATCATCACTGACTTCATCCACTGACTCAACGGGAGCAGACAATGCGACGTTACCTCGACCTGGAAGTCATACCATAGAGTTCTTTGAGATGTGTGCTAATCTTATTAAACTTCTTGCACGATAGCTTGCAAAACCTATTGCTAGCCTTTTTCCTATTAGTGTCTTTACAGCAATAAGCATGCAACCATTTAATGGCTCAGCTCATCCCGGCCAAGGATGAAGCAGGTGGATGTCCCCAGAGCTGACAGGATACAGTGCTCACAGAAACATAACATTCTGTCAGATGAACAACAAGCTTAATATAAGCCCAGAGAGATCAGTGGACAGCAAATGTCTACAAATTTACACTGAATTTGCTGCACTGTAGCCAGTGAGCGCTGCTATTTAGTACAACATCCAGTGCTGTCAGCAGAGAGAGGTTTACAACAGAGATTTGGAAATGAGGCGCTAGATGTATAGGATACAGGAAGCACTTTTGCACAAATGTCTTATATTTCCTGCTGCTCTTGTTCATTTGTCTCATTGGAGATGAGAGTAGTGGTGCAGTTGTGTTGGGGCACTGCCGAAGTAAGTCAAGCGTTACCCACCAAACTCTTGGACATTACAGACTGGCAGATGCTCATGTATTTCATGTGTGTGTGTTAGAGACAAAAGAATGCTTCATCATTTGTTCCTCTTGTGTACATTTGAGCTGTCATGCTAAAGTTTCATGATGTCCTTGTTGTAAAATGTCTGTCCCTTAAATTTTTTATATATAAAGACATGGATATATTTATCAGTGCGTGCATTGGTTCCATTGAAAAGTATAACTTTTTTTCCCCTTACATTTATATCTATTGCTGGATAATATGTATTATCTTTTTTACTGTGTCTTTTTAATCAATATTTTGTTTTCTTCAATCATATTGTTTTGTCATACTTGATTTTCTGTCCAGACAATATAGATTGATTTTACAGTTTAAAGTTATTTTCTCTGAACATCAGAATCTATATCATTAACAGTCCAATTAAAATTACATTTAGATTCTGACATTTTTTTGTTTTGTTTTTACTTTGTTGTCTTTAATTCTTATTGAATTTGAGACATGCCTTTGTTTATTTTTAGATTTACACCTTTTAACAATTAAAAAGGTTTAAAACATAAAACAAACAATTTATAGATTGTGAAAGGTGTCTTATGTTGATTGTGCCATTATAACAGAAATGCAGGCAAAAAGTCCTCAAAGCTTGTAGAGCAGCAATAATATTTTGTCCAATTCTTCTCTTTGTTATTGAAGTTCACTAAAAGCAAGCTTGAAGTCATGTGATCAATGTTTTTGTTTGGCTTAAAGAAATGAAATCAACTGAAATAAGTTTTTCCATGTTTTCAAGTGTTAACTTTCAGGTTGAGCTGTAACAACAATGCTTCCCTAAGAATTTACTAGTATATGCCTTTCCGTCACATTGCATTATTTCTGAATTATTTTACATACATTGGTATTGGTGTTTATGGAGTTTTAAACAGTGTATTGCTGATTATTGCTCTTATAAAGCCAAAACGTACCATAATTATGTATATTATCACAAAATAACCAAACAGCTGCTTATATTTCTTATTGGCTCAGCATTTTTTCCAAGTTAGAGTGTTGTTCACTGGCACTGAATAGATTTGTATTTATTTTTTCTATTTTAAACAAGAATTCAAGTTGGAATAAATATGTAGGAGGTGAAACATGGTGGCCCATTTCGTTTGAAAGCACACAATTATACTTGTGTTCAGTCTTACGTTATTGCTATAGGGCTGGGCATTGACTTCTGTGTAGTGACTGTTATTTAATTACATTCTAAAACATTTTGGTTTCTGTATTGTTTGTTGACCATAAAACGATGAGAACATGAATGTCTGACATTTTAAGTTAACAAAATAGTGTAAGTTGGATTGATCTATTACTAAAGGGACCTTACATGATTGTCCAGTGTAAATTTTAAGCGGCAGTGTTGGTAAAATTTGTATTTGCGATGCCTAATAAACTTCTGAACAATTCATCTATGCATCTCGTCCTCCAACTTTTCTCTTCTAGAAATACCTCACTTGGATTATACTCATTTCCATGAACACCTGCGACAAAACTAACTAGCCCTATAAGGAATAAGTAACAAAAGCCAAACTCCAAGCAAAATGTGCATACTTGGTCAGATCGAGGCCCTGGTACACTAATGTTCACATGAGAAATTAATGTTCGACTCGTCATTTTAGTGTCATGTCCCTTTAAGAAGCGTTGTAAACATTTCTACTACTTCCGGGTTATATCTTCGGGTCACGTTAAGCTTATATTTTAGATCAGACGCCTGGGATAAGACGTAATTACATTTATATTGCATATTATACAGTTATGTGTCATGTATTACATATAAAGTGAACATTTTGAGCTGTTAAATTTGGAACAGATGGTATAATAGTCATAAACCGAGTGGCTTATTTATCCAGTTTAGCTCCGTTTATTTACCAGACGGTGAGGGTTGTTGCAATTTAGATCTAGCAAACTTCTAGTTTTAGTAAGTATATATAGAAGTTTAAATTGAATACAGGATGGCGTCGTTCGGATGGAAGAGGAAAGCTGGGGAGAAGGTGTCCAAAGCAGTGCTCCAACAGTTTGAAGATGAGGCAGAGAAAGCTGATGAAGGAGCGAGCAGACAGCACGAGGATGTGGACTGGCTGCACGCAACCAAGAGGCGTAGGGAAATGCTGCTGGAGGACTGTGCTACCAAGAGTCAAAGGCTGAAAGATGAAGGAGCTTTGCTCGCCGAGCAAGGAAGGTCAATCTCTTCTAATCAATCATGGCTGTTTCATTGAACATGTGGACAAAAAACAACCCAGATATTTACAAAGCTAGTCCTTGAAGCAATCAAATATGATCATATTATTTAATAAACAATACATTACATTTGAGAGAAATTGGATTTCTCTCCACAAGAGAGTGCTAAAACACAAAATGTGAACCATTTCAATAAATTGTAATGAAGCAGCATTACTTGAGACGTGACTTGACGTTTTTCTACATGGGCCGCTAAGCTTCACGGAGGGTCCCCAGGTTCTTAAAAATGAAGTTCAAACTGCTTTCATGAGATATTAGTGGTTACTATTTTACAACGATTTATTAATCACAAAACCATTATATTTGTGTAGCTGGACATGTACGGCTGGTTTTAAGTGCACATGTTGCCACTGCATGTGCACTTAAAACCAGTTTTAAGATGTTTAATAAAATGTAAGTTTGGTGATGTTCCTCTGTGATGCTTATGATCCAGTAAAACTCCATTAGTTGTTCCCCATTCCCAAGTTTTGGTCATGACCCTCAGTCACCTCCTATAAAAGTGGATTTTGCTGAGGAAATGAGGCCTTGCTCCGTCATAATGACTGCTTAGAGCTTTGAGATGGTGTCTGGTAAAGCATATCACAGTCCCACTCTAATGTGATTGACCCTTGTTTTCAGATCCATTCAGTTTTAACTGCTTATGATGTAAGCAAGACACCATCAACCACTATTAGAAATGGCTTATTCAATTACATGGTAGGTTTCCAACATATTGCTTTGGTCCATAGTGGAGGGCCTCTGATGGGTGATGCTGTATTTGGGCTTAGTCTTTGGTACCTTCCAGTGAGTCAGTCCTCTGTTTGCTGTCATAGGTGTGATACTACAACTTTAACAAGACTTGGAATCTGAATGTTATTTATTTCACACCCACATATTTGCTATTTATTAATCTTTTTTAACAGGTATTTAGTCTATTTTAATTTTGTATATCTTAAAATGAATTATTGATATTAGTAACTTTTTTATATGTTTGATATATGAAAGAAAGAGGTTATAAACTTCACATATGTATGTTATAATTTATTTTATGATGATTGTGATTATATATGTCACATATTGCCTAACTTCCGGACTAATTTTACAGTCTTCGCCTCTACTGTGTAAATGGATTGCAACACTGGGTAGTTCCTTTTCCACTTCAGCCTTTGTTGAGCACATGTGCATAGTCCCATAAAAAGGGAGGGGAGCTTTAGTTTGATCAATCGTACTGGTATCTCCACCATCGGTTTAAACCACAAAATGGAAATGTGATATTGTGATATAGAGTGTAGATTAAATATTCTATAAATATGAAATCTGAGCCAGACAGACAAAACACACACATCTGATGGATTAGTCCTTCACAGTTAAATCAGTATTATCCTTAGAGCTTTTATTTACTTAGAAATTCAATGTTGTTGTTTTTTTGTTTGTTTGTTTTTTCAGACATTGGGACGCCATTAAGAAGTGGGATGAAGCAATACAACTGACTCCAGAAAATCCGTCATTATATGAGATGAAGTCACAGGTGAATACTAATTAATATGAATATTATTTAATTTGACCTACAATCCTGTGGTATTTCCTACAAGGCAAAAAGCCTTTTAGTAGTGGTTATTAATTAAATGGCTTACGATTTACAGGCTTAAAGCCTGGTAGTATTCTCTGGGTTATATCTAACTTCTAAGATATTTATTATACACATTTTTTCATCATCTGTCACTGTCACATGCTACCACTACTGTCCATATTACTGACATTCAATTCAGCCACTTGCTTCAGACTGCCACTGGTCCATTTCCCACTTCCTCATGCTAGACTGTATTCACACACACACACACACACACACACACATTTTGGTTAGTTATTTTTTACACAGGCATCAACAATTGGTTGACTGATGTGTTTGTTTATTATTACTAATCAAATGTATTCTTAGGGTCTGATGTAGTCAGATTACACATAGAACTGTAGGCCTAATATGATAAAGTCTATTACAAGACATTTGAGAAGGAAGCCAAGCCATTAGAAGGCTTTGCACAGGAAGGACCCAGGAAAGTTGCTATGCACAAATGAAGCAAACATTTGTACTTTTATTCAATATCTTCTCTAATGCGCTCCACAGTCCATATTATAATACTATTACTCTCATTGATTAGTTTGGATAATGTCATATTACCATTACAGGTCCAGATGACTGCACTGGCCCCACGATGGCAGCTTACTTCCCCTAATCACTTTCTTAACTTGGTTCTAGATAATGAGTTTCTGCATAATGTGCTGCTTTGCTCTGCCAGGCGGTGTTTCCGTCACACTCTGTTGTTGAGCTATAGGACATCACCACATCCTGGCTGTGTGGTTTGTCTCAGCTCTCATTGACCCTGTGACTTTCATATCAACAAACCACACACCAGACCGAACTGAGCTGGTTTACATTGAAATATGACTGAATATACTGCAAGTCACTACATCATAAGAAGTTTTAAGTTTCAAGTAGTAGGTTTAGTGCAAACTGCTCGCATACAGCACAGTATGCATTCTGTTAGATGTATATACCCAACAAGAAATACTTTTATGTTGCTTTATAATTTGTTAAGAAGAAGTTTTATTATCTTTTTACTGAAAATCTATTTAAACCACACCACTGAGCCAGTTTATTATTATTATTAATAATAATAATAATAATAATGCCTTACACTTGTAATGCACTTTAAGGCTAGTCATTATTCATTCATGTCATACAGGGTGGTGTTACTATTATAGTCACAATTGCGCTGGGGCAGACTGGCAAAAGTGAGGCTCTCAATTTGCGCCATCGGCTCCTCTGACTATCACCAATTGTTCATGCACACAGCACTTTCATACTAGGCAATGCGGGTCAAGTGTTTTACCCAAGGACACAATGGCAGAACTTGGTCTGGGAATCAATGCTCTGACCTTTGGGTTGGGGGACCACTGCTCTAATCCCTGAGCCACTGTCGCCCTGCTATGATGACTCCAGAAAGCTTTCTTTTTATTTTTTAATCCACAGGTTTTAACCATTCTCCATGAGGTCTTCCCAGCTGTGAAGGCGGCCGAGATGGCTATGAAACTCCGCCCCCTTTGGTGGGAGGCTTGGCAAACTTTGGGTCGAGCCCAACTTAATCTGGGAGAAATAGATCTGGTAAATTAGCTTCTGATTCTGATTAAAATGATGAGTGCAATGCAACACAGTACACACACTTTTTGAATGCAATAAATCAGACAACAGTTTTTTAAACTATTGTAGTTTTAACTTTGCAGTTTTAACAAAAAAACATCCAAGCATACAACCATCATTGATTTAAATAAACTTTATTTGTTTAAATTCTTTGAAGCCATTTTAAATCAGATATTTTTGTTTACTATTTTCTTTTAATACTTCCTACTTGTGCAAAAAGGTGCCTTAGGCTTGAGTTGTTCCTTAAATTGCCAAATAACACGTCTAGACCTGTGATTGAATGAATACTTGATGATAGTTACACAACCCATCTTAAACCAACATGCCTTACCTCAAAAATCCTTTAACTATTGGCAGTGTGTATAGAAGGTTCTTGTCCCAGAGTAGTAGACGTGTCCTTCAGGACCAATATCAACAACAATGATGAGTGATGAAAGTTGATTTAAACACAAATAGAGACACACCTCCTGATATAATGACGCTATTCTTGCAAGATAAAAAAAATAAAAAATCTCTTCTATTTATAGCAAGACTTGTTTGGTCGTGTTCAAGAGCTATGTCTGCATCAACATGTTTGATGATGTTTGTACAAATGGCATAGTAGTAGTCTTTTTTTTTTTTTTTTTTTTTACAAGCCATTCTTTGATTTTGCTATTCATCTTTGTCTAATTTCAGGTAAACATTGATGGGAAAGCACCCAAATAACGTATAATTTAACAGCATTCCAACAACTAATTGAAACTTGATTATCAAAGTCAACAAAATCTCTCTTTTTTGTTTTTAAGGAAAAAAAATCACATTCGGGTGTAGAATTTGTGCTTAACTTGATTTTTAAAAGGCTCTATCTTGCAGTGTGGGTTAGAGGATTCATGATCTTATTGTAAACAGTTTTATGACCAGTGGGTGAAAGCTGAAAGATTTGTTGTCTGTTTCCCTGTATTTACTGTGAAAATAACTTTTATATTGATTTTCTTGTGCATTGTCAGCAGACATCTATTGATGTGTCTGTAATTAAACATTAAATAATAGTGTAGGAAAGATAACTGGTCATAGCATCAGTGTCTTTGTCAGAAAGGTAAAGCATATTTTATTTTATTTTGTGAACTTCTATTCTTATGTTAATTTTGTTACTCTCTACAGGCTGTCAGGTCCTTCCAGATTGCAATTCACCTTTGCCCATCAGAAGTCTCCCTATGGCAAGAAGACCTGCAGTGGGCATGCAGACTACAAAAGCATCATTTAGCCTCAAAGGAAAAAGACCAGGAGGAGGATGAGACTAAAAGACAGATTTTGAATGCACCCGAGTTGGAGCAGGACTTTGATTTTGAGTCAGAGGAAGTTGTGGCTGCCTGTGAAGCTGTAGCTCAACGTCAGAATAGTTATGAGGAGCTGAAGAGAACAGCCCTGGTCATAGACACTCAGGGAAATATACAAAATGTGCTGGCTGGGGAGGGAGGCTCAGCAGATAGTGGATCCCTTTCAAAAGAAGTATTTGTAAAAGCAAGAGGACTTTGAATTGTATCAAAACAAGCATATAAAAGATATATTGTTTTAATATTAAGAAATGTATGACTATGATTGTCTAAAATGGATACATCTCAAACTTAGTGGGTAATTTTGATTAAGTCCTTGATCATGAGGGGACTCATGAAGTCATGAATATCAGAAAGGACTGAGAAGGGCAGTTAAGCAATACAATATTTATTTATAGATTAGTATATTACTCATATCACTCACATTATATAATTCATTCTGTCAGTAGTGCTGCTGGTGAATGTATTTTGTTGAGCTGCCCAAAAAAGAGGAGTTGAATTTAATTAAAGTTAAAACACCTGAGGTTAAATCATTTGACATGAATCTTCCACAACATAAATTTCATCTTCTGCTTTTGTTTGAAAATTGTCTAGGTGGAAACCAAAACATGCTCATCAACTCATTTTTGTAGATTCAGCTCTGGTGTTGGCAGATCACATGAGATATATTTCAACATGGCATACGTTTTTGTCAATCCCTCCTACTTTACTGTGAGCTGGTTAATTGCTTCACCAGGTCCGTAATGTTAGATTGCCTTTGGAACAATAAAGGTATAGTGTTTTACACTGTAGCTTGGAAACTTTACTGACCATAAACATGCACAGAATCCCCACAAATGTGCAATAGTATTTTTTACCAAGCTCAAGATTTCAGTAATATTTTCATTGTCGTCTTTATAGGTCAAGAAATGGCTACAAATTAAAAGAATAGTTACCTCTGAATTGAGATTACAAACAACACACTACAAAATGCTCTTTGTTTACTCACTTTAATTAACCATGTTGTACCATAATCTCAACTGGTTTACAGGTTTTGGTAAATTACTAGATATAGAATTATGTCACATTAGATCGTAAAGGGTAAAGCGGAACAATTGGCTATTCACATTACATTAAAAGAGCAGAACAGCAAAATAGTGTAACACTGAAAATGATACGATACACCATATCACCAAGTGCAGTAGCTGCCTATTTCACCACTTTGTTACTGGCCCTTAAGACCTTCTCACTGAGAAGAGACACTGTTTTATTTTAAAACTTCATAAACACCATACAAACAGAACTTTCATCAATATTCTGATGAATACTATGACGCTAGATGCACTTTTCCTGCATGTTGTTGGACTCATTTGTAAAGGTGACATGCAGCACAGGGTCAACAGGAACTTCCTTTATGTGGAATGTGTCCTCTGTGTGCCCCCTCCTAACCCTCCTGACCTCCTCCACAGCACCAGCCTCTATGGCTGTTGGTGAACACGTTGATGAACCTGAGTGTCCTGCTGTCCCTCCAGAGCATGAGTGCAGTGATGTCCTTTCCAGGGAGTGCAAGCATATCTGTGAGGTGCAAGCAAACTCCTGAAGGTCACGGGTCACTAGAGACGGAGAGTCCCGGGAGACAATGGAGGAAGAGAGGTGTCCGTCCGCACAGTGAAACCTACCACCTCTGCGGCCACGGCCCCCCATTTTACAGAACACACACTTTATTTTCTTCATGAGTTTGAGAAACACAGTCTTCCGCAGTAGTATGTAGACCCAGGGATCCAGAATCGGATTGATGGATGCCATTCGCACGGCCAGAAGGTCGAAGGGAGGATTCTCTTTTTGGTGCATCTGATTTTTAAAGATCCCGACCTAATAGAAAAAAAAATCTTTATTTCATCTGGAAGTATGCCTAATATAAAGACCATAAAAAAGATCAAAAAGTCAAAACTTTTTGAAGACCTCATGCTTAAAGGTGCACTATGTAGCCTTTCTGGTGGAGGGTCTGCCACTTGTTTATCTGAATGGAAATGTTATTTGTTTGTCTGGAATCTTAATATGGCATTAAAGTTAAGTAGAAAAGAGTAGGTACCCATAAACACCTCAATTATTTAAAAGTCTTTATTTAATGATAAACTGAGGAATTTATCTCTTTTTGAATACCTAGTTTTAATTTTTTTCAACTTTGTAATTTAGTCTGATCCCTGCACTGAGGAGTAATCATAGACTGTGGTAAATTTGCAATCTCTACACATCCAAGCACTCCAGCCTTCTAAAATTCTGATAAATGTAATTTTTTCATGAAGGCAAGCAGATGATGCTAACTGAACTTGTTACAAATCAGTTCTGAGGAGAGGTGATGCCACTGAGTACACTCCATGCATTAATTTAGGGCTTTGTGGAAATACAGTATTAAATGTGAGCAAGAAATTTTTAATGCCATTATAGTTAAAATAATAAGAATAAGAATAACAATAATAATAATAAAACAATAAAATTAAATTAAAAAATAGTCAAAACAGTGACATCTTCATGGAGAGTAGCAGGTGGTGGAACCAGAAAAGTAACACAGTGCATCTATGAATTAAGTTACAAGCATGCAACCTGCAGTGTTGGTGAAGGAATATTTTGCAGATTTTTTACAATATGATATTACGTCAAAGAAACTGTAATTGCAATTGAACTTACCACTAAAGGTATAGAGCAGATCAAAACCACCGCAGATGTGGCTATGAGGAGGATCACCATTTGAATCTCAGCTCCGGCCAGTCTGCGAAAGCTCCTTCTGCTGCTCCTGATCTCAGCTGCGCGCCTTGGGTCTGCGCCCAGAGATGTGCGACGGATGAAGCGCCGGTGCATAACGATGAGGGCCCCACACACAAGTACATTACAGATGACAGTAGCCAGCACTATCACCGAGTTTAGTCCAGCGTAAACTAAGTTGTAAGTAGCAGTGGAGGTGTGATTACTGTGCCAGTCTATAAAGCACCATGTCCCCGGTACCTGCACCTTGACTTGTCCCAGTCCCAAACAGGGCATTGAGCACACGAGTGCACTAAACATGTAAATGGCCAAAAGAGTGACCGCAGCCACTTTTTGGTTGACGTATTGGTTGTAGTATAATGCGTGGTTGATGGCCAGGTACCGCTCAACAGACATAGCAAACACGATACCCAACTGCACCAAGAAGAAGAAGAGCAAAATAAATGCGTAATATTGGCACAAAGGCTCCTTTCCGGGCCACGCGCCCTTCATATATGTGGCTATGGTAACGGGGCTGACGAGCAGCGTACCCAACAGGTCGGTGACTGCCAACCCGCACACCAGCGTGTAGAAAGTCGTCTCCTTTTGCTCCTTACGGGATATGCGGAGCACAACGATGGCAATGACGTTACCCGCTACCCCAAAAATGAACATTATGGATGGGATAGTCGGCGGCGGGAACCTGCCCGGTGCCGCGGTGGAGTTCATCATTTCAGATGCTCCAAAGTTTTCACTTTAACTCATACCCAGTCACACGGTCTTCTAAGGGCTAAAGAGATTTCCCATTTTGTTTCACGCACTGGCGCTCCTATGCGTGCAGTGCCCGAGACGGAGTAAATCCACAAACAGAGAAGTGATGATTTGCTACCGACGCTCTTCTGCACTCCGCTCCGCTCTGCTGTCACTCTGTTCTGTCAGAATTTCTGGTTTGGCAGCTCCTCCTCTGCGCTGCGCTCCTCCACGTTCGCCACACATATACTCAGATCAGTGTGGTTTCGCTTCTTCACATGGAGGAGTTCCCACACCTTGAGAGATCAGAACAAAATGTTCATCTATCTTGTACACAGCTGACAAAGTACTTTTACTGAACGTTAAATTATTATTATTTTAGATAACATGTTAGAATGGTCAGTGGTCAGTATCACAAGAAAGGGTGTAGTAAAAGAAAAAGTAACAAATTATTACTTAATTGATAAAACAAAGAAACCATTTTTTTTTTTTTTTTCATTTTTCTTACAAAGAATAGCTTTGCTTGCTTAACAGCAATATTTTCACATCATTAAAAAAAAAACAACAACTCTAATTTATAATCACAGTTTTGTTACAAAATCTATGATTTAAGTATCCATTCATATCTTATAAATACATAAAAGTGTTTTGATTGCAACAAAATTAATGGCAATTTAAAGCTATTCTGCCTCCAATACCAACAAAGTTTGAGACTGGTGTTTATATGTGATCTCATGGGGTCTTTTAGTCAACAGTGCATCCTATCACCTTTGCATGATACTCACAAGGTCAGGCTCAGGTTTCCTCACAAATTAGGACATTTTGGAAAAAGATTATACATGGAGTTTTACCTATTCTTTACACAGTTTATGGGACTTCGTAAAGATATCACTGAAAGTCCTATGGACTGTAGTTTCTTTTTTCATAAATGGGTTCTCATTAGCGTGTCACTATGTACTAGCAGGGATGGAGTTTTACATTTTCAAGATATACAACAATATAAAAATCATGTTCATTTAATATTGATCTATGCAGGTTATGGGATTCTTAATGTTTAACTAAACTAGAATGCAAAGTTAATATTTCACCTACAAAGGCATAATTCCCTAAACACTTAGCTGTAGAAAAACTACACATACTCAAAATATTGCATAAAAAATCTTAATGTGTATGTCTTAATTTAAAAATGTAAAAATTTAGGAGTAACATCTGAATAACAGTGGCTATACTCTGCATCATAATATGATATGATACTGTCTCAATCCATGTCTATATATTATATAGACTGATATATTATTGAGACAGTACAGTTCAGGACACTGTCTTTATCAGAGTCTGGTTGAAAACTACAGTGTGCTTGCAGCAGATAAAATGGAGCATCAGCACTCTGTGAACCGTCACATCCTTTGTGACACTAAACTTGTCTTAGTGTTTGATTGATTTATTTGTCTCAGAGGACTTTCACTTTATCAGTGCATTCATGAAGACCCTTACACACAGCTTTAATTATTGTCAACAGCTCCCCTCGGTGTGGTTTAACATAAGCTTTAGAGGAACAAGTCTCAACATTAGCAAACTATGCCCCTCAGGCACCCTTCTAAGCAAACATCAAGAACATCTTGTGCCACTGTTTTCCAAGTGAGGTTTTATGTATGAAAGAATGAGACGGCAAGATGTATGATATAATTATATCATTAAGATGCGTGGCATAGCCTTTCATGCACTTTTGCTCCTGTTCACCTACTAATAAGAGTGGTAGAGATAGAGCTCCTGCGATGGCCCAGAATGCAACAGACCTCTACAGACACACACAGATGACCTTGTCTGACCCCAATGTTTACACATCACTTGTAGCTTTAACGTAACTTTAACTGTCAAGGGGACTTCCATAGAGCTTCTCAAATACTGTATGCTCTATAGTTCATTCATAATGGAATCAGATTGCATTATGCCAATGTAGATCCTGTCTCCTGTGCAAAACCTGTCTCACATGTTTACATTTAGCAGTGTGGCAGTTGGTCCAATCTCAGTGATGTTTTTGATATGTAGAGATAACAAGTGCAACAGAGCTACATGCACACCTGTCCATACCCTGCCGCTGTCTGGCACTGTTATGAACCCGCTTTTGTCCGCAGGCATCTGTCAAGTTTCAAAACAAAAGTTTTAGTGCTGCCACCGAACACTCAAAGGATCCATTGTCCACATACACAGTTCCATTCTGGTGCCAGGGGAACTCTGAACATAATCATTTTAATTTCACATTCCTTCTTAAGGTGTCCCCAGGGCCTTTTAGCACATCCATCAAGCCATTCAAGCTGCAAAACATCAGTCATACAAACATTCTGGATGTCTGAAGAGTATGTAGATATGTTGCAAATAATTTGTTTAAATTATTGTTTGTATCAAGAGATTTCCTCCTCCTATATATATATATATATATATATATATATATATATATATATATATATATATATATATATATATATATATATATATATATATGTGTGTGTGTGTGTGTGTGTGTATGTGTATATATGTGTATATGTGTGTGTGTATGTGTATATATGTGTATATGTGTGTGTGTATATATATATATATATATATATATATATATACATTACATCCCTGTCTCATTAAATAAATAAATGAATCTAAGAATGACCTTTAATTTGTAAAATCATTGATATAAATGAACACAATAAAATATTATGTAAAGCAACAAGCATGTTCATTTGTTAGTTGCTAGTTTATGCCGATACTCTTACTCTGACTGTGACTTTGTTTGGGACTGGGACAGCTGCAACAGATATGTTATCTGTGTGACAGCCTGTGCTCACATCACAGTCCACCAAAACTCAGACAAATCTCAATACATTGACATCATTTATTAAGTACACACGCTGTACTCTCTGCATTGCATTTGACCTGTACTATAGAGCTTTTCTTTTTGAGAGTCCGACACTTATTGGCCTGCATGGAGATGTTACTGATAGTATACTATTAAACATCTATCTCCAGTGCATGTTTTTCAAGATATTTTTGAGCAAAATGCAATATACAATTTATTTATTTAATTATTAATTGTATATTATTTATTAGTCTTTACAAAGGTAAAGACTATTCTTTCTGGGGTCCACGTCTAATTTACAATGCAATGTTACATTATAATTACTAGAAAGATTCACACGTAACACAGTCCTGTTCCACTGTATACCACATCATAAACATTAACCATTATATATCCAATACATTACAATGAATAAATATAATACACTTGATGCCACACTGTGCCAGTTTCATGGTAAACCTCTGAAATCTCCATGGAGACAAGCACATGGAAGATTCCCCACCCAAAAATTTACCTAATGCATGTATAAAATCAGTGTAAAATAGAGCAGTGTATAGCATAAGATAGATGATTAGAGCAGGTATCAGTCATGTCGTCCTGAAACACCCATGTTGACTTTTTCTGTACACATGCCATTCCATACTTGAGTCCAGACTTGAATAGCTTTTTTTATTTATAAAGCAAGTATTTTTTGCAGCCATTTTCCCACAATGAACTACAATGACTAGCCTTTGCTCCCTGTAATGACAAATTTTGTTTTGAGTGTGATGGGTGTCAAGATGCTAGTGCAGTGTTAAAATGCACGGGACCCGCACGGACAGGTTGGGCATGAAGCTGCATCGAATGATGGAAGAGAAAGGTGTATAACAAAATCTCATCCATCATGATCAAGCAGCGGGAAGGCTCTGTTACAAAAAACAAACAAAGATTAGTTGAAAACACAAAGATAAAGAACTGGAATATGAGAAACCTGCACTACCATGTTAAGTGAAACCAGTGTTGAAGCTACTCATTTTTTATCTCAAAATGTTTTACAAACATACATGCATACATCAAACAAATTAGGTGTCATTGTACATTTTGCTATTGATTGGTGTGTCAAAATAAGAGCTGAACTTTAGCTGACTTCACTCCAGGAACATTTCTTTGGCTTGCTGGTGTAATGATGTATGCATTACATGTCTTCAACATAAAATTCTTGATCAGCATGTAACATAGGAAAGTGTGCCATGGAATATAGTATATATAGTATATATAGATAGTTTATATCTACTGTACAACATGCACATTATACTTATCTTATCTAATGGCTGTGGAATATATTAATCTGATGAGAATATTGTCCTCAAAGTTCAAGTTTAGTGTTTGAAAGAGAACAGATTCGAGCATGTGTGGCTTCAGTATTCATGCATAAGGCTGCATTTAAGGCCTGTGCATAAACAAACATGCTAAGCAGTAATAATTACACATTAGAAAGATGAAAATCTACTAAAAGAGCTCATTGTTTTAACTGAAGTATATATGATCTATATCTGTGTCTACATATAACTGTTTGCATAACTGTTTATTTTGAATGTAAGTCACTTTGGCCCATTCTTTGGAAAGGGGAAAAACAAACATTTCGACACTAGCTGAGGTAATTTTAGCTGACTATGTTCAAAGGATTGTTATTCAAGAGAGCAGTTATCTATGTGTCAGAAAAATCTGATTAAGTCATGCAGGAGGATTTGAAAAACAAATGCAGATTATTTATTATTTATCAGATCTGATTATTAAGCCTATGAATCACTGACCACTTGTCTGTGAAATACTTGCAAAACATGAACATACTTGCATTAAAGACACCCTGGGAATTTAAGATTTCTGAATTAATCAGTGTTAATAAAGCCTGTTATATCACAACCCTGGATATGATTAAACTTTATAAAACTTGAAGAAATTCACAGTAACATTTTCTCTGTACAGTTGATTGCAATGATGTCCATGCTGTGGATAGGATGGTAGACATAGGGGGAAAAGTCACTTGCACTTGTCATACTACTTGTTTATTATTTCAGTGTTGTTGAGGAGTTTAATACTGGTCACATTAACCCCACTATCTCACCAGAAAGACAGACTGTTTGTTATTATTTCTTATCTTGGAAAAAGATATGGCGCTAACCAACAGTGTAGGCTACAGTATCTTTGAGACTTGCGGCCAGTCTGAGAAGGCACCACAGTCCAACTTTTAAATCTTTTCTCAGAAACTGTATCAAAGTTTCCCTCATTTACAGATGATGATGATGGAGGTACTTAATTTCAATGTGTTTCTCACATATTCTGGTATCATGTAATTGCACTATGTTGATTAATGAGCCAACAGCTGTACAGTACATGTGGAACAGCACACTTGTTACTGCTCATTCTGCATTGTGTGTTATAGTCTTTTGAATATCCTTTCTCATATGATCACAGTTCAAGGGCACATATGAGGTTCAATAAGAAGTACTATGGAGGTAGACACAGAGTTTCATAGATAAAAATTTCGTAAGACATAAATACTACTACTGCAAATACTACTTTATTCTGCACTGTAGGCTATCTGAATCAAAGAGCAGGTAAAAGTATCACATAGTAAATGTGATATTGGAACATAAAATAACACTAATAAAATATATTTAGGATGTCCCCTGGGTCATATTCATTGGAAATCCCAGGGCTGGAATATATATGAGTAATGAGCATTCCCAAGGTTTTTTTTGCCCCATGGCCTTACTTGGTCCTGTAAACAAGCCAATCCAAAACAGTGTTCACCCAATTTGCTTTGGCAACAGCTGCAGCGGATTCCTTGGGATACTAAAACTATCACTAAAAGGAGATGGATTAATGTAACAGATTAAATATTTGGCTACTACAAAATACACTACACATTTTTTTTTTTTTTTTTACATTATGTTAGTTTATGTCAACAAACATCTAGTTCAACTCATTTGGCGAAAAAATAATCATAGCAGGTCAAACATCTATAATGGTTCTTGGAAGTACACCGTTTTTATGCTGCATCTTGACAATTGTGAAATTGTCTGTTCCTAAAGAGGAAGTGAAATCATACGCACACAAGGATGAGTTGATACAGTCAAATGGGTTATGTCTTTTGAAGAAGAAACACAATATTGCACTATATTTAGTTATTTATCCTTTATTTTATTTTATTATTTTTTTTATTTTTTATTGTGTTCAAATAAAAAAAATCGCTATAGTTTACTTGTAAGGCTGTGGCATTGACTGCAGGGTTTTCAGTGTCATTGCTGGAGTTTACGTCAATATATCAAGGGACATTTAAATCTGTCATTGGTAAGACTTTTGTACTGTACTTCCAAACAAATATCTAAATATGTACAACTTATAACAGCCTAGCCCTAGCCTAAGTATCACATGGTCTGTCCTGTCACATGTAGTAAGTGTCCATGTTATGTTAAACATATCTATGATCAGTACACAGATATGATGCAGAATTTAAATTTATATAAGGTAACACAGAAAAGGCCTGCGGAACCATATAATTTAAAAAAGAGAAAAAACAGCATCAGCCAACCACACACAAAAGCAGTTTAACTAAGAATTCTGGGGGAATATTAATATCACTGAACCACATCAGAAATGCCTGCTCCTAAAGAAAACAAGTGAACACAGAACTATTTCTCCACTTGAAAAGGATGTCAGCTTTTTAAATAAACCATGGACTACAGCCTAATCCCATACTGTTATAGTAAGGTCAGTTATAAACAGCAGGTATTCGCTTCCCCACACGTTGGTTTTCACTTAGCACTGATCCACGCTTTGATACTGATCCACGCTTTGATGGTGCTTTGGCACCATTTACATGGGCTTTGTTGGTGCACGTTTGATTGCTGTGAACTGACTAAATGTTTTCTTAATTGTGGTTGGCATAGACTTAACAAAATATACATTCAAACATTACAAATATTTGCAATATTCTGTTAGCAGGCCCCGAACAGCTGAGAGTAAAGTTAGAGATTTTGAAGCGTTCGCTGTCTGTCACAGCACTACATTGCCACCTGTCGGTTAAAAGTTGCTGTGCTCTATAGTCTGACTGCGCCCAGTCCTTGTGACTCCGCATCATTTGGAGTGTAGGCAAATTGTTGCCACTAGAGAGTGCTGTGATACAAGTCTTCAAAACTTTCTTGAACACAGCACAAATAAATGGCAGTCAAGGTGCATGGTCAGCTCACCTAATTCAAACCAAGTAAAACAAATTGATTGATAATTAATTGAGATGATTGCAAAACAATATAGCTTATTTTAGTTGGCAATGAAAGAGCTTGTTACAGGCCCGTACACTGTGAAATAATTTAATTTCCGTCTTTAATCACTGGTTCGTGTCAAGAAAAAATAAATGACAGTCCAAATCAAGCCATATAGGCACTATATTTTATATCTTATTGTTCACATTATTCAGATTTAAATTACATTTATTTTAGGCCTGGCTGTTCCAGGCCGGGACCAATGTTTAAAGCTGAATCTTGGTAACTTGGATGTTTGTGATTGTTTCAAATCAACATGCAAAATAATCCAAGTTTACGTTAATCTTTGTGGAATCCGTATGTTGTATGTATTCAACGTTTTTACACTACACCGTCTATCTAAGGATGTATTACATTCCCTAAAATTGTCGATGTAAACTACTACAATCCCTGAATCTCACCCGACAGCCACAACCCCCACCTCTGTTGGTCGCAGCCTTTTATATTTTTAATGCACTTTTCCCAGTTGTGTCTGCTGAATGTTTGATATGATCTCCTATAGCCTCAAACGAATCAAAACTACAACCACAGCCCCTGAAACATTCACATCTAATGGTCATGTGTGCACCCCAGAAAATCCCTTTAAAGTCAATACAATACTTGCAAGGTCAATCCACAAGACTCAATAAATGTAGCCAAAAGGAAGATGCAGTACAAAGCAGCTGCATCCCAGTCACCTCTGTCATAGCTCTAGCTTTGTTGTGCCGCTCATTGTCTTTTTAAGGCAATGGAGGCTGTTTGAAGGAGTCCAGGAATGGTTGTATCTTTTATCTTAACATCACACACTGCAAAACCTCATTACACTGTCAGTCTCGCTTATACAGAAGAAAGAAGGTAACTTCCATGTGAACACAGTTTCTTTGATTTTTCATTTAGAAATCTTTAACCTGTTGTCTTTTTATGGTCCATTTACTAAATCTTGTTCCATCCTCTGCAACCGATTAGGCATAGAATAACAATACAACAGGTTTATGTTGTCAAAATAGTCATGTGGACTTGGTTTATCTTCGTAAATGTATCTAAGATGACTACTGAAATGTATGTTTTTGTATTTGACCCTGTCAAATAAACCAAATACATAAAATAGGCTTACTAATAATAGCATAATAGCCTTAATTGGTCAAATAGGGGTGGCCTAATTTAACTCGTTTACGATAAACCAATTGCAATCATGAGTAGCCTAAACCTCATCAATTATGACAGGCAATAGAAAGTTCCCTGACTTCCGGAGTTTTGATTTGTTGCCAATGACATCAGCTTTGGGGTGAGTGTGCAAAATAGTGGTGGGGCTTCCTCATCCTCCCCGGTTACCGAGGATGACACACTGTCTGCCGGTATAAAAGGCTAGAGCCACTCCTATCAGCCTCTTGAGTGTGGTCCCTGCTTGAGAGCATAGATTTGAGAGGAGGGAGGAGGCTGTCGCTGCTAACGCTACTGCTGCTGTCAGGCTACACAGAGCACGGGGAGATGGCTACCCTGGTACAGTCCGCAGATGCGATGGAGAATTTGTACACCCCAAGCAACATCGGAACCACGCCGACATCCTCATGTCCCTCACAACATTTCAATGACAGCAAATTTTACTTGCTCGTGGTGATCGGGGAAGTAGTCACTGAGGAGCATCTGAAGTGTGCTATTGCGGACATAGAGAAAGGTAAGATCGAGCGGAGCAATAATATGGGGTGTAGGCTGAGGATGGAGGCCAAGTTTACAGTTTCAAGTTAGACTTGAACGATAGGCCCATAAAATGTAACATAGGCTATAGCTGATGGGCGTCAGCACGATATTATTATTTTAACCTGCCTAAAAATGTTGGCCTAATGCATTGCTTATGTCTTCATATGGATTCATATATGTCTCAGTACTGACATGGCCCCTCCCAGTCTCCCGAAACGATGGGCGACCCATCCCTTCACTGACTGGTGCGTCGCTCCACCTGCCACAGTGCCCCAAGCGTCATTGCGTTCTTTTCCAAGTCCATTTAGAGTAAAAGACCTGTTGTGTCGCACATTCATCCATTGAAATACTTGCTCTGTTATATGAATATTATGATATTTCACCGCAGTGATTCAGCATTTGTTCTGAACTCGGCATCAGAAACGCTGTTTGTGCTTGAGTTTTGGTTGGGTGTCATGCTGTGTGCGCGTTTTCCTGCAGCAGCTAGTCTCCTTTCATCACGTTAAAAATACGTGCGTCAGGCTTTTGTTTTTCCCATACGCGTAGTCTAATCCAGGCAGTCAGGAGTAGCCTCTTTTCTTAAATAAATAAATAAATAAATAAGTAAATAAATAAATAAATATAGCCTCATGCGCCTTCGTGCAATGTTCTTCTGTATACAGCCAGTAGATCTGTATCAGTGTGTATATGCAAGTGCAAAGTTTATTTCTCCTCTTGGTCCCCTCCCTCTGTCAGCATCCGCAACCAGTTTACTCTCATCCCACGTCTCACCGGCTAGTGGGCGTGGCCAATGCGCACTGCGGCCTCTATAACAAACCATGTGGGCCAAATGTCATATTATGCGCTGTTTTGAATACAGATACAGTAGCTGTTTATTTGTCACATTGCTAATGATGTTCTTGTGAAGTAATTCAGGTGTTATGCTGCATGTGTTGATGTTGAATTGATACTAATAAATAGGCCTAAATAAAGTCAATATAGTTTAATATTTGTTTCATGAAATCTTCATAGCCTGTCGCATATTGCTTATGGCGTCTGTCTTGATTTTTATAGCAAGATTTTTTGTTTATTTGTTTTTTTGATTTTGTTTTTGTTCTTCCAGGGATCCGGTCATGGGACACCAACCTTATTGACTGCAACCTGGACCAGGAACTCAAGCTGTTTGTCTCGCGGCACTCAGCTCGTTTTTCTGCAGATGTCAGAGGTAACGCCAGAGTACAGAGCAATGTCATTGATCTATCGCAGGACCAGCCCGAGAGGGAATTAAAATATATTAGACCATATAGCAGTCGTCGCACACAATTTTATGTTATAATATCTCTGTCAGCACAGTGTTTTATTAACTAATTCCAGATACACCAACGGTTCGAAGGGAGTGGTCTCACAAAGTGAACTAGATATGTAGTGTCTCAGTGAGCAGTATGGCCTTGACGGTCAGCCGGAAGCAAGCCTCTCTCTGGACCACTTTGTATAGGCAAGCATGGCCCTACACAAGGGCAAGGTTATTTTTATTAAAAATAAAATTACTTCAAATGCATCAAGAAAGACAATGCAATTGAGGAAAATACTGCGATTTTAAAAAATCAAATCATGTTTTCCCTTTTTGACCCCAGTTTTCCCTATTTGATCATTCCCCCTGGTATTGTTGCCTTGCAACCTGAAGGAGCACAGTTGCTTTGGGAGTAATTAGTAACAGGAAATCTCCAGGGGCAAATGGCTATAAAAATGAGGTTAGAGGAAAAGCCGCGATAGAGTAAGATGAGGCAAAGGTAAAATGGCAAGAAAGAGACTGGACGCTGAGTAGATTAAACATTGTGCTCCACAACAGTGTCTCCAAGTAGAGGATAAGAGAGTAAACAATTAAACTTATGTGAATATGTCCATTGCTGACCATCAGGTTAGATTACTAGAACAGAAGGCCTGATAGCATGCATTAAAGACTATATTGATTAGAGAGTGTCACAGATGGGCACTTGAGACTTCATGTGCCTATTTGAGCTTGGTGTAGTGTCAGACAGAGACAATGGATCCAGTCATTTTTAATATAATTACTGGAGAGAACATTGATGAGCTATTGGTGGCTACTGTGTTGTATATGTTGAGTCTGAGCAAAAACGTTCTTCAAATATATTTAGAGATTAAAACCAAATTGTTGTATTGCTGAAATTGCATTCACAGGACAGCCACACATTCAGTAATTGAGGACATAAATCAATCAAATCCCGTGTGATATTTTTGTTCAACTATCTGCATTTGGCCATGGCTTTTGGATGCTGTGCCAAAAACAAGCAGCTAACTTAATGATAGTAGTAGAAGGGCTGCATGATTTCTGTACTTGTCAGAACAAAGGTCATTGGTGCATGTCACACTGGCTCACCTCTACAGACAGTGGGCTGCACTGAAAGGACATCTGTACTGACTCTAGATAATTTTAGGATCAAGTACTTTGTGACCCCAAATTAAGATATCTGAATGTTATCCATAACAAAATCTTTATAACAGTAACACAAAAATATATATTTTAACAAAAAGTTCAATTTAGTTATGCTTTGCATACAAAAACTAGCATAACCTTTAAGACTGCAGTCTGATACACCTATAATGTAATCACAAATTTCACAAAGGTTTAAATAAGTTATATACTGTATGCTACGTGACATTAATACAGCATTAAATTAAGATTAATTTGGTCTCCTTTTCTTCAAATTACTTTTTGGACCATTTTGTTTATTTACCTTGACATGTTTCATCTAGTCATCATCAGAAGAGTCATTTTGCTCTGATGTGTCTTGCCGGCTGATTTACAGTCTTTGACGTGGTCTTCCTTCTGTGAGAGGAAGGACGTCAATGCCCTCTGTAGTTCAACTTCTTCACAACAGTATCCCAAGTGTGAGGAAGCGGACCAAGAGCAACTGAAGCCTGCCATCTCAGACCACTGCAAAAGAGAGAACCACGTTATGGATTGGGATGGAATCAAAGTTATTGACACAATAAACACCATCCTTAGATAAAGCAGGCAACAGCCGGAAACATGCCAATAATACACTAAACTGAGACAATGGAGCGTTCTTGCTTTCCCACACTTGGACACTTGAAGAAATCTGCACAGAACTATAGAGGGCACTGTAGGCAGTGGTTAGAGAAAAACAATAGAGTAGTTGAATGTTGATATATATAAGCACAAAGCAAATGACAATGTTTTATGTTTATATTCCCAAATTTATATTTGTATGTGTATTTTATGGTTGGTGCAAATCCCTCCTTGGTGGAGAGAGCATCATGTTAATGGCCATGTGCTCAAGCAGGAATTAGTGATATCAAATATGAATAGAGACCATGCAGTAACCAAATAGATGCTGCAGTCTCAGGTGACAGGAAAATGCTGGCCTCAGAAGCCTTATATGCTTTCACAGGTAATGCAGAAGAAACAACCTTTTGTGAAAAACTACTGTCTGCTTTAGTCATTTGATGTTAGATGAAATCTGGAGACAATACGATCATGTAATCATAGTGCGTGTGATCCAAGTGTCATGATGGAGACAAAAACGTATTCAGTCAAAGGTTAATATGTTTGATTATGAGCCCACTAGTTCTGGTCACATTTATTTTTATGTAAATAATGTATGCTACTTATATCCTTGGCAAATGAAGTGTCCAAACAATACACATAATTACATTACTCACGTTATGTACAATACAATAATGAAATTATTCTGAGTTGGACTGTACTCTTACTCTCATCTGTTGTGATTTAGGGCAGAGAATCCTTCATCATAAAAGCAATGCCCTGGAAACAGTGGTGCTCATCAACCCTTCGGATGAAGCGGTCAGCACTGAGGTGACTCATCCACATGTATAAATTAATTTATTTTAATTAGACAGTTAGAAATTCTCTTCACTGAATTATACTTAAAACAATGGCATTATAATAATTTCACATGGGTTTGCAATCTATTTATTTTGCCTGCGGTGTCTTAATTAAAGGCTAAAGCCAACCCTGAGATGCTTAGTTGTTTATTTTCAAATCAGCACGCCTAGCCTTTTCGGCTCACTTTCAACACACATTACCTGCAATTTAATGCTATTTATTATTTTTCAGGTTCGTTTGATGATTTCAGATACATCTAAGCACAAGCTTCTTGTTCTCTCGGGACAGTGCTCAGAAAACACTGGGGAGCTTATTCTTCAGTCTGGATCATTCTCTTTTTACAACTTCATTGACATTTTCACTGACCAAGAAGTAAGTCACGTCATCTATAATATATCTATACATATCTATCTATATCTATATCTATATCTCTCTATATATCTATATCTATCTATCTATCTATCTATCTATCTCTATATATAGAGAGATAGATAGATAGATAGATAGATAGATAGATAGATAGATAGATATTTTGACTGAAGCATTTTAAGTACATTGCACATTTTTCTTTTTCCCCATTTAGATTGGCGAGCTCCTCAGCACTATTCACCCAGCAAACAAAGCAAACCTTACACTTTCCTGTCCAGATCAGGGTGACTGGAAAAACTCCAACCTGGACAAACACAATCTACAAGACTTTATTAACATGAAATTAAATTCTGTGCTCATACTTCCAGAAATGGAGGGTCTCTCAGAGTTCACAGAATATTTATTTGAATCTGTCGAGATCCCAGCACCTTTTGACTTGTTAGAGCCACCAACATCAGGTGGCTTTTTGAAGCTTTCCAAACCATGCTGCTACATATTTCCTGGAGGTCGAGGTGACTCAGCTCTTTTTGCTGTAAATGGCTTTAACATGCTCATTAATGGTGGCTCAGACAGAAAATCATGCTTTTGGAAACTTGTTAGACATCTGGACAGGGTTGACTCGATTCTTCTGACTCATATTGGAGATGATAACCTACCGGGGATTAACAGTATGCTACAGAGGAAAATGGCAGAGATTGAAGAAGAACAATCACAAGGATCCACAGCAAACAGTGACTGGACAAATAACATGATTTCACCTGATATTGGTGTTGTGTTTGTAAATCTGCCGGAAAACCTGAATAATGCTGAACCAAACTCCAGAATGCGCAGGACTCTTGATGAAATTGCAATGACACAGCAATTACTTGCAAAACTGAATTTGAGAGTTGAGTCTTTACAAAGACCTGTCGGAAACATAATTGAGCCAGTCATACTATTCCAAAAAATGGGAGTTGGAAAACTTGAGATGTATGTGCTGAATCCAGCAAAAAACAGCAAAGAGATGCAATACTTTCTGAAACACTGGAAAGGCACTGAAAAGGACACCACATCAATTCTCTTACCAAATGGTAAAGAATCTGAGTACCCGGTTTCATATTTGACATCAATTTCCTCTCTCATTGTGTGGCACCCGGCAAACCCTTCTGATAAGGTTGTACGTGTTCTCTTCCCTGGTAATGCCACCCAGCAACACATCCTTGAAGGTCTAGAAAAGCTGAAGCACTTGGACTTTTTAAAGCAACCAATTGTAACTCAAAAAGGAATGGCTTCTAGTGTACCCTCAACACCTACTCTTAAGCAAACTAAAATGAAACATAGGGCAGACAGCAAGGAAAGCTTAAAGTCTAGTGCAAAACCATCACCAGTTAAGACAGGAAGGAAAGAGTCTAAAGAGGAAACTCCTGAGAAAGCCAAAACAGATGCGGAATCATTGTTTGAAAAAACACACAAGATTGAGAAAAAAGACAAGGTTGTAATCAAGAAAGAAAAAGTAAAGGGTTCTGAAATAGAAGCAAAGGTAGAATCACCAGCTAAAACGGATGCCCCTGAAAAGAAGAAATCTGAGATTAAACCTAAAACAGAGAAGGTCCCCAAGAAGGAACCCAAAAAGTCACTTGAAAATAAGAAAGATACCAAAAAGGAATCAGTAAAAAAGGATGACGTTCCAAAACCAGCTAAGAAAATAATCAAAAAGGACATCAAGAAAGACTTGACAATGAGCGAGGACAAGAAAGAACAAAAGAAAGATCTGAAGAAACCCTCCAAAGATATAAAAAAGAATACAGCAGAGGGAAAGAATATAGTATCAAAACCAAAAACACAGAAAAAAGAGACAGGGACACAATCCAAACTGAAGGAAAAGAGCAAATCAAAGGTGGCAAAGAAAGAGTCCAGTACAACCAGTAGCAAAGCAGAAGACATTACAGCTACAGTCGCTGAAGATCCAGAAGTAGAGAGGTCACTGATGTCCTCACCAGAAGACCTAACTAAAGACTTTGAGGAACTCAAGGCAGAGCTGCTAACTGAAGATGAAGCTACAGTTCAAGTACATCTTAAAGAGGTGATACAAAGAGAGAATGTAACACAAACCAAAGAGTCACTGGCAGCATTAGGAAGTGTGGATGAAGGTATCACCTCGACTGAAGTTGAAGAAGACAGTGGTGTATCTCCAGAAGAACAAATAATTAAAGACAGAATGAGTGAAATGTTTGAAGATGAGGGAACATGTGTGAAAGGGACATCTGAGGGAGGAGATTTTGAGGAGAAACTTAACATCGGAGAAGTTTGTGAATCACAAAAAGAAGAAATAAACAACCAAAAGCCAGCTATACCCCAAGATGAAGACTCTGAATATCCTAAAGAGAAATGTGAAAATACTAAAGATGGTAGTGATTTGACCAATAAAAATGTAGAGATTCTGCCTTTGGAGGTCGTAGATGTAGAACAACAGTTAGCACCAGTTTCACAAAAGGTTTCTTCACCAGTTTCCCCAGCAGCATCTATCAATGATGAAATGGTCCCAACTGGCTTTGAGAACTCAGCTTCAGATGATGAAAACAGGGATGAACAACCAGAAGATTTCACTGTTACATCGGGACTTACTCAGTCCACAATTGAGATCTCAAGTGTTCCTACTCCCTTGGATGACATGTCAACTCCTAAAGACATAATGAGTGATGAAACTGCTAATGATGACTCACCCACACAGGATGCTGTAATCCTGGAAACATCACAATCTGAAGAGGCTGACAAACCGAAACTCTCCCCTGTTAAAAGTGAGCCTGAATGCAAAAAATCCCTTAGCGATGCCACTGAAGGACATGATTATAATGTCTCTGCTTCAACAATATCACCATGTTCATTATTAGAAGATGATAAATTTATAAAAGACTTTGAAAACAAAACTGAATGCTTTGTTTCAGTACAATACGAGTCCAGTGATCAAGATAATGATAGACCAGGTGAAGCCCAGTCCTCTTTGTCCCCTTTCATACGATCCCCCTCAGTGGAAAGCAAGCAAAATAAAGTTGAAAGTTCTTCAAATTTTGCAGCTCCAATAGAACTTTCAACTACACTGACAAAAACAAGTCCAGAGGACAAAACTGTAGAAGGGTCATCCTCTCCTCAATCCTCTGGTCACACACCTTACTATCAGTCTCCAGTTGATGAGAAAGCAGATTCTCTTCCACTAGTTAGTGAAGAGGGTGGAATGCAGGGTCCTGTTATTGTAGAGGTCACGAGTGATCTTGAGGATTCCTCGAATAAAGTTACTCTAGAACATGATGAACCACGACAATTAGAGTCTACTGAGAATGTGGCATGTACTCCACAAAACATACCTCAAATGTTTCAACCAAAAGATATCAAGGATGCAACACCAGTTCTAATTGGACAAAAGAAAAATGGAGAGCATCCCCCATGCACATTTTCCTCATCAATATATCGGCATGAAACAGACAATAATAATTGTACAACATTTAAAGAGGAAAGTAAAATGTCTATTTCTGAAGGGACAACATCTGATAAGTCAGGCACTCCTTTGGAGGAAGTGGTAGCAGAAGATACATTCTCTCATTTGGCTTCAGCCTCAACAGCTTCATTAGCCACAAGCTCCCTCCCAGAGCCCACCACTGACTCTCCTTCACTCCATGCAGAAGTTGGTTCTCCACATTCAACCGAAGTAGATGATTCACTGTCAGTTTCTGTGGTTCAGACCCCAACTACTTTTCATGAAGCTGAAGGTTCTCCGACTAAAGAAGATAGCCCTAGACCAATGTCTATTTCTCCAGACATTTCACCAAAGGCTAAAAACCAAACACATCTGGATACAAGATCACCAGAGCACTCAACTATGTCTGCTGATGTTGGCCAGGACTCACCTGATCATTCACTTGCTTTGGACTTTAGCAAGCAGTCACCAGAGCATCCATCACTTGGAAGTGGCTCTCATGCTACAGAGAATGGCCCGACTGAGATTGAATACAGTCCAGACAAAAAAGATATCAAGTCACCAGGGGAGAAACCAGTACTTTTTGAAGAATGTGATGCTCGTACAACCTCTGCTACACCCTCAGATGCCTCTCAGTCCACTCCCTCTGTTACTACTCCTTGTCAGTTGGCAGATTTGACACAAGATGTGACTGAAAAGATAGATAGGTCTGTAGATGTACCAAAGATAGCATCTATGAACATATTAAATGAACCACCTTCATTGTTAGAAGATCCATCAGCTAAAGACAACCTCAGCCTTGGGACATCTTTCATAAAGACAGATAGTCAAGAGAAGGATAACTGTCCCAAAATGCCATCTCCATTGGAGAATAGTACATTAGAAAACCTTTCACCATCAAAAGAATTGGACAGAATGCCTCCTTCTGTGCAAAAAAATCCTTCTCCCCCTAATCTTCCTCTTACATTTGACCAGAGTATTTGCAATGTTCCTTGTGGCTCTAAGGACCCAGCTACCAACAGGCAAAGTCCTTGTGGTGCATCTAAAACAGATGTTGATCTCTGCTTGGTCGCATCATGTGAGTACCGCCATCCAAAGACAGAACTGTCCCCATCTTTCATGAACCCAAATCCTCTGGAATATTTTATCAGTGAAGAACGCACATTTGAGGAAGAAAAGCCTCTGGCCAAATCTGGAGGTGGTTCCCGACCTCCAGGAGGGAAGATGTCTTCTAAGCAGTGTGAAGAGACCCCACCCACATCCATCAGTGAATCTGCACCCTCGCAGACAGATTCTGATGTGCCCCCCGGGACAGAGGAGTGTCCCTCAATCACTGCAGATGCTAACATAGACTCTGAAGATGATTCTGAAACGCTGCCTACTGACAGGACCCTGACGTACAGACATGTAGACCCCCCTCCTATGGCACTCAAGGACTCGGCTCCATCTCCTGGGCACCATGATGTGTGTATGGTGGATCCAGACACTTTTAAGGCTGAAGAAAATTCCAACACAGATGGGAGTGAAAAGTCCAAAAAGAAAAAGCTTTCAAAAAAATTTACACCTGTGAGTAAGCCTGTGGCTCCAAAGGCCAAGGACACAAAGACTGTATTGCACAAGAAAAGTACAGGCGAAGGAAAGGACGCCAAAAATGCAACCAATACTTCGGCTTCAAGAGGTGTAAAAAGTGCCACTGGTGAGTATTCTATTTAGAGCTTATCTTGTTATCTTGTTAGGCCATTTAAAATTAAATACATAAAAAATTACTTCTTTTAAAGGAAATGGAAAAGGATCGAGTGGAGCTCTGCCCAGCTGCCCACCAATGTATATGGATTTGGTATACATCCCTAATCATTGCAGTGCCAAGAATGTAAATGCTGAATTCTTCAAGAGTGTGCGATCCTCATACTATGTTATCAGTGGCAACAACCAGACTGCTCAAGAGCCCAGCAAGGCTGTCCTTGATGCTCTGCTAGAGGGAAAGTCCCATTGGGAACACAATATGCAGGTATGCTTTCAGTTTTTAAAAATAAGATGTGCATTTTATATATATATATTTATTTATTTATTTATTTTCAGGTTACTCTAATTCCAACACATGACACTGATGTCCTGAGGGAGTGGTATCAGGAAACCCATGACAAACAACAGGAACTGAACATCATGGTTCTGGCTAGCAGCAGCACTGTTGTCATGCAAGATGAGTCTTTTCCAGCATGTAAAATAGAAATGTAGGATTTTTACTGAAGGTTTATGTATGAAGAGGCAACACTGAAACCTTAAGGTACAGCTAAATTAACTAAAAACTGTAAGATGTTATCCCTTTTCTCAAACGTGTGGAGTCAGTTAACTCTAAATCAACTATTTGATGCAAATCATGATTGATATTTGATTTTAGATAATTTTTCATATTTAAGTATTATTTATTTAGTTCATACTATTTGTATATTTATTTAATATGTATGGTGTTTTTTGGGAACTTCCTGTTTTGTTTTTGTTTTTTTTGTTTTTTTTTCAGAATGTAAAATTTTCTCTACTACAGGTCTCTACACAAAATGTGTCTTAGTTTTGAATGTCTTTTTGATTGTTTAGAAGAAGGGAATCCATTTTTTTATTTCTCCAGTTTTACATCACTTTAAATGCTATCTAAAACACCACATTCTGTACGTAAATAGACCATACGAGTTTCTGGGGAACAGGTGCATGGCTTTTTTAGGAATTATGAATCACACCTTTGTTAAATATATGAAGCCTTATGCATTTACAAGTTTTGACAATATTAACTACTTAAGTGGGTTCTAATGTAGCATTAACAGTACTGGGTCATTTGCAATTTGGTAAGAGTATTCAGGGAGACTGCCCATAGAGGTCTAGAGCACATATTGAAGTGAGATGTAGTAACATCTAAAAGAAGACTAAAATACTAACTGCTCTAAACTAATACAAGAATCACATTCATTACAGTAAATGTTTGGTGGCATTCAAAAAACAAGGTTCAAAGGATTATTGAAGATCTCATAGACGTAGAGACAGTTACTTATAACAACCTTTGAGAATGTCGATTGGATATCTCTTGCAGACCGATATAGACAAATGTGGAAAAACATTAGGAAATTACCATTCATTATGGTCAGCCTTACTATAATCAAAGACTGCAGACAATGCGTGTCATTCACAATCCCAGGCTTCAGCAGCAACAACCCAACAGACTTTCCACAGATAATATGAGCAAAAATCATACTGTCTTTCATGAGGCCTCTCACCTCACCTTTGTGCGGATCTAGATTATCTGCAGCTATGTATTTGTCCTGTAATATTCTGGTTCCTAAAACCATTTGTATGTTAGAACAATTGTATTTGTTAGCGCTTGATGTGTGTGTTGCAATATTTCCTTAATCAGCAAATCTGTAAAAGGTCTCAAGTAAAGAACAAACAGTCAAATGACCACAATAAATAAACTTTAAAACTCAGTGTTTGGCTTCTATTTAGCAAAATAGGCTAATTGAATGTATCACATCAATTTCTCAAATTTAACACTCAGCATATTATTATTTATAGTTTTAAATCACTCGTAATATTGCATTTAAGTCTGTTATTTTATTTAGTTAAAATCTGTTACAATCACATTTTACAACCAAATGTTGTCTAGGTGACTGCTGTTTTGGAGGCTGTTCATTTGCACCTGATTGCAAGAGGAGGAAACAGTTGCTGGGCTGGGATGCTTTTGTCTGCATGAAAGCATATATCAATATTTAATCTTTCAGTGACCTTCAGTGGCGGAATTACAGGCATAATGTAAAATACTACATTACTGAATGTGAAAGTGACTGAATATAAATACTCATCATCATCAATAGCGTAAGGATAGAATACACGCTATATGGTCAATCCATGGTCGATGTTTGTGTAGACCTACACAGCAGCACCCCCTGCGGGCTTCCACCAGCAAAGACACCTGATAATACTATTCATGCCGCTTACTTTGCCTTCAAAAAATATTCAAACTGTGCACTGAATAAATCTCATTATACAACGCATATGCGTCAAGTGATTCATATTACAGTGTAATGTTACAATTTGTGTTTACCTTGTTTCTCTTAGGTCAGTGCGCTGACATTTTGGATTATACCAATTAACACAATATATAAAAATAAACTGTTATTACAGCAACATTGTTTTGTTTTTTATCACGTTGGATTTTTTTCATGGAGTCAATGATTATTACATTTAATTAAAAAAAATAAAATAAATGTAACTCGAGATGTAAAATTATTCTTAGAAACCCCCTTCTGTCCTTGATGTTGGTTCAGTCTGAGACCAGCCATTATGGCGCTGGGAAGACTTTTCAAATGTGGTCGTTCATTATTTTATGAGCCTTGTAAAGGAGTACTTTGTGGATTTTTGCACTCCCGAGACTGGAGGCTAAGCTGTGTTCAAGGTAAAACTAAGAATTTAAAAATCCCTTTTCTAACGCTCTATTTTTACTGTGTGCCTCACTGTTTACATGCCGCTGTAACACATTCTGGCAGACTTTACTGTGCATCTTCGTTATTGTTGATTGATTAAATGCATTATTGTGTCTTTTGTGTATTGGCGCGTTTTTGTAGCCAAACGTCATCTTTTGACAGAAGACGTGATCAAACTACAGGAATTTCAGCAAAAAAAGTTGGCAGTGGCTCATCTAATAACTAGATCAGAAGGTAGGCTATCACAAACCTTAAAGTGTTGAAAACTGTGTATTGTCTGATTTCTTTTTTTTACAGGAAATTTCATTGAGCTCTTTCATAAAAAGTTGCAGAAAAGAGAACTGATTCTGCGGGATGAGCTCAAGCTTCTTCTGCACCTATGCCAGTCACCTGATGATATGGTTGTGGCCAGAGATGCCATTTACAGGTAACCAATGTGAATGTATGAAAATGATCTGTCTTCTTTTATGTTATTTGTATTCTTAACATAGGTACCATGCAGAGAACCTAAACTTTGCACATGGAGAGTTCCGGTTTGGTCCTCTTTTTATGAGACTGTGCTATGAGCTTGGTTTGGAAGAGATGGCTGCTGCAACAATTAAAGATAAAGTAATGTGTTTTACTCTTCTTAAGTATATAAGCACTGACACAAAGAGACATTATTTTCTTTCCATACAGAGATTGGAAGGGTTCTTTAATGACTCCACGTCCTTTAACATCGCTATAGACATGTTGTTTACAAAGGGTGCCTATGAAAGTAAGTAAAATCATAATTTGTAATATGTCATTGCTGATTTCTTAATACATTTTCATCTGTGTAGGTGCCCTGGATATACTCAGAACAATGCAAATCTACAACATACCATTTAATAAAGACACACTGATACTAGCATTTGGCACGTGTTATAAACTGGTAATAAGCACTTCATGTAAATCAGTGCATCAGTATTAATATCAGTATTGAGGTTAGGTGTTGTTTGTTTGCTTTCAGAACACACCAGAGTCCTACAAGATCTGCACCACTTTGATAGAGGAAAGCCAAAGCAAGGGCCACTTAATTCCCAGACAAGCTTACTGCTTTGCCATAGCGTTGGCACTTGAACAGGTTAGATTTCTCAGCACATGTTGCCTAATACTTAGAAATATTTTTTCAAATGCACTTTGTATCTTTCTCCAGAATTACACTGATACAGCACAGTCTTTGTATTCCCAAATAATGAATGCAGAGGGCAGGTTATGTAAAAATCTGAAGGCAAGTTCAAAACATAAATCATTATGGTTGTTAATAATAATGCAAGTACTGAAAATCTACTGCTTTGCTGTTTAGATCCTAATACTAGCCAAGTCAGGGGAGTTAGAAGAACTGACCTCTGTTTTTTATGCTGCTTTGCATAAGACTCCTGCATTCATTAAAAAGCCAGAATTTACTCAAGATGTGGTATGTACAATAAAATAATGGGTACTTCTTAAAATACTAAGCCATTCTTATTGTAGATTGTGTTGCAGGTGGATGTAGTACGATTGTATTGTGAAGGTGGATCCTATATGAGAGAAATGAATCAAATAGTGTTTCAGCTTGAACAGGCTGGCCAGGTTATCCAGCAGTCTCTGGATGATCTGTTATGCCATACTCCTGCAGGGAAGAGGAAGCAATGGCCAATAATGCAAGATAATAGAAGGATTACAAGTCGACGAACTCTTAAGCCACTTAATTCCTCTTTGCTGTCTGATTAATAAAGAATCCATGCCAGTGTGAAGATTATTAAGAATGAGTAATGATTTCTTTCTCAAGTAGTAGACCCTCATTATCATAAAATTATAGGGTTGTATCTGACATTTTCTTGAAATTGAGTTATTTATTCATAAATTTTATGAGCAAAAATCACTTCACCATTGTGGTATATGAGTAGTCAGAACTTTAAACGCCAATATGATCACAACTTCTTAGTTATGTAGATAAACCTATGATTAGACTACTTTGTAAGAGCCAGTAGCCTAACTAGAACTGGAAACAACCTGTAATGTAGTGCAATAAAATAATGCTTTGCTTATTCTTGCTGAATATTTTAATGAATGTGTATTTCAGTTTATAATGCGTCAAGTGTCTCATGTCTATGTTTGCGCATGTAAACAAACCATGACGCAGCCCGAGTAACTCCTCCCACAATGCTTCGCTCCTGAGCTAGGAACAGGGACGAAGGCGTAGTTGCTAATATCTAAACAAGAGGCTTATTGCTTCGTTGGATTGTCTTAGTAGAAGATATAGAAAGTGATTTTTAAATAATTTTATCTGCTAGAACTTATTTACTGATATTAGGTACATTTTAGCGTCTGGTGACTTTGTAGTTAGAGCGAGCTAGTTTGGATGCTGCGGCTTTTGCGGCTGGATAACATCAGGCCACCCATAGTACGAACAAAGGAATTATAAGCGATTAGTTTTTATTCCCAGTATTTGTCACTGACAGTGCCTGTACGATCGTGATAGAACTAGTAATAGCTGTTATACGGCCATCTTATAATAATATTAAGCTATATTGGCGAGCTTTAGCTACCTAAGCAAAAAACACAATGAGCTCAGAAGAGACTGGAGCGGCCGCCAAACCCGCTCCCGAGGATGACGGCATGACATGGTGGTACCGATGGCTCTGCAAAATTGCTGGAGTTCTGGGAGGGATATGTAAGTAGCCTTGTCTAAATCCATGGATCAGAATCGTAAACTATATACAGAACTAATGATCTGGGTAATTATGTTGTCTCCTATGTCCCAGCAATTAAACACAGGGAAGCACATGTCCTATTCTCTATAGAATTTTGTCATATCGCCTTAATAAGACATATAACATAAAAACACAGGTCTTGTCCTATTAATTTTGTCTCAGAGACACCAGAAACCGTAGACCATATCATGTTCACCCAGTGTTGCATATTCGATGAGTTGTGTATTATTAAAGCAGGTCTAAATGAACAGACTCTCCACTGTCTCTTTGAAACAGTGTGGGTTTGTTTGGCTTCACATTCTGTGCAGACATACTGGGGCACAGGGGACATTACAGTGAGCTCAATCACTCTGGAATCACTTTATAATTCCATTATATAGTAATTAAAACAACATGTTTGCCTCATATTTAATTTAAAAAATGTAATTGTGTTTTCTTTTCTTTTTCAAATAACAGCTTGTGCCACTGCAGGAGTGTGGAACTGTGTCACTATTAATCCTTTAAATATTGCTGCTGGAGTATGGATGGTGTAAGTTCTGTTTCTATTCATGTATTGCATGGTTTGAATGCTTTTGTATTTTTTATTTGTATTTTATTAATAATTGTATAATACAATTTAAATATATTTTGATTACATATTTGTTAGAATCAATAAATGAAAACAAATTCACACACATGTTGAACATGTATGTACATTAAAAAGTAAAATAGAATTGTTTTGTTTTTTTCAGGTTGACTGCTTGTGTATTGTTTCTGTGTGAAGTCCCCTTTTGTTGCCAGTTTGTAGAGTTTGCTAATGTGATAGCAGCTCGTGCAGACCGACTCAAGCCTTGGCAAAAGGCACTTTTTTATTGTGGGTGAGTGCTGTTACTATGTATATTAATTGACATATTTTACTTGTGTATGTCATGCAATTTAATTATTGGCATTTTATTCTAATTTGCAGGATGGCTCTATTCCCAATAATCTTGCGATTCAACTTTACTACACTATTCGGAAATGCCATTGCCTTTGCAACAGGAGTTCTGTATGGCCTTGCATCCTTAGGCAAAAAGTAAGACACTGGATAGATATACATATAGATATTTTCTGTAATATATGTTTATTTTATTTTTCATATTTGTCTTGAATACGCCTGTGTAATCCTTCAATAACAGTTTACGATAATCCCTTTTTAATGATTACTAATACAGTAGATTCACTTTACATTCTAACAATTTGTCACTAACCTACCCTCCATTTCCTTTCCATTTTTAGAGGGGATGCTGTGACTTATGCCAGACTTCAGCACCAGAAACAGGGAGATGAAGAGAAGATGACAAATGGAGCTCCTGAATAAGACAAAACAATAGCATCTTAAGTTTAATTTATTTGCTTTGATTTTCAGTTCTTATACAGCCCCTCACTGTCACCCTCTAATTACACCACTTGTTTTTTTCTGATTCGTCCAAATAACACTGACCTTGTATAACCTCTGTCCTTTAATTAATACTTACATTATGGCAATGAGTGGAGTCAGCCATCAATGAGTATTGATACCTACACTTTCTTTAAACATTCTTTTAAATGGGGTAAAGGTGAATGTATTAGGAAACACAAATTTTAGCTTTTCTTAAAGGGGTTTTGTGTAGACCAATAGTTTTCCCATGCATGAACGCAAATATTGGTCTCATTCAGATTGTTGACTATGGGATTGTATGTAATTATCCAATTTATTATAGCTAGTTATTTATTTTCCATCTGTGGCAAATTGAAGTAGATAATGTTTTTGTGCAAATGAAGGGAAATGGCGTTCATTTAGGCTAGATTTTGTGAGGGCATTAAATTAAGTCAAACTTGCACACTGAAAATCCAATTTAGAATTCATATGATTATTCCTAGTGACATTTACGCAGTGTGTGTCACTAGGATTAACATGAGACAGTCCAGGTACATCCAATCAGTATATGCCATGATTTGCCTTTGTCACGCAGTTGACATGAGCAGTGGTGAGAAGTGATGATTGTGTTTGTAGTGTTGCCTCGCCTCTGTTGTGTCACCTGTATTACCAATGTATGTTTACATGTACCTCTCTTACCTTATTCAATATTGTAAATCTATTTGTTACTCCAACTGTTACCACCAGCTCTCAGGTATTGTGTATAATGTTACTGTTGTTTAAAGGGATTGGAACATGCCGCAATTCTGAGCCTAAAATGTTTGTTAAACAGTTGAAATGATTGTGCAAATGTTTAACAATGTGATTGAACACTACAGACCAATGTTTAACTTTGTCCTCTGAGATAAGAAAAAAAAAAGCTTATGATTTTTTTCTTGCAATTCACCCATATTTATTTGAGTTCACTCCTTTGCAGTGACTACATGTAATGACTGAGTAACTGATTATGAATCAGGGGTTATCAATGTTAATTTTTGTGTATATGTTATGTCAGCAGTGTGTGTGGTGGGTCCAGATCTTGCTTTAACTTTGTGAATTAAACAAACTTGCGCCTAATTAGTTTCTGAATGCCTTTTTTGTTTCATAAATATACACAGTTATAGTTTTAACTGCAAGTATACACTGTATGAGCACTCACTGTTTAGAAATTAGTAAAATGTAGTTTTGGCCTGGTTTACTAATCGATTTAAGGATAGGGATACTTGCTCATATCAAGTAGGCTATTCAAACTGTTTGCCAGTCATGCAGTAACATTTGACTGGCCTCAACGTAATGTTGCAGTTTGTTAAATTGTCGTAATTTGTCAAAGACACCAGCAGAGGGCGCAGGCGCATCGGTACCGCGTTCTGAATGGGCTAATGTACCCGTAGATTTATAAAACTTAAAATGTATTTATGTTATCATACAAAAGTATATATACTGTATTGATTGTTTATTCTGGTAAACCCTAAATGACAGAAGAAAATCAAGGCACTACCAACGGGAATTTGCCCATATTAAAGGGATAGTTCGGATTTTTTTGACATGAATCTGTATGGCATCCCCATGAGAAGTGTCGGGCATCAACACTGACTTACTCCCGAAAGTGTCCGGTGAGCCGAGATCCTGGCCGTTTTCGGTGCTGACGAAAGTAGTCCGGCAAGTTCGCTGGGGACAGTAAAATAAAGCGTTTTTCTTCTCAAAACAATCTGTGTTCAAAAGAGTGATACATTTGCATCGCTATATATATATGTGTATATATATATATGTATATATATATATATATATATATATATATATATATATATATATATATATATATATATATATATATATATATATATATGCCTACTTGGCATTTTGTGCAACTTCAAACGGGAAGAATTGAAACGGCAAATGTTTTTATTTTATTATTATTCTCTTTTAGACTATAACATTGACTATCTCATGCCTACATTATTCTATTCTGAGACATTTTGCTTCTGTAACTGAAAATAATCAGGAAGACGAGTTTGAAATTGTACCCTCCCCAGGGAAGGACTCTCTTGAAGACATGGGCTCTCACACGCTTGCATTTTGCCTGGGAACTTTTCTCCAATAGGGGCTCGTTTTGAGCTCCTCGGAGGGGGAGACGGGTGATTGCCACCAACAGGACATGATTCAAAAATACCCACAGAGCAAAGCACATCACCTGCTGCGGACGGGGAGGTCAGAGCGTTTACATCAAACGCACTGGAGTTTTTCAAAGCGCATTGGGAGCTTTTGAGCAGAAGAAAAACATGGTGTTTGCACATTTTGGATCGTTTTCAAATCTACCGATTTGAGGACGGGACCTTCTGAAACAAAAACACAATGAGCTTCGTTCCCACGGGGAACTCACCAGTGGAGCAGTGCTGTCCAGACTCAGCGGATTACAACGCGAGAAAACCCGCCAATATTGCATCGTTTCATTGTTATTAAAAGGTGTTTTCCGCGTCAGTATCTTCAGAGATGCCTGCGAGGAACAGGTACAACCTGGTAGACGATCTGGCGGACTCCAGGATCCCGCTGCACAACGAGGAGGCTTATCAACACGGAATACATTTCCAAGCCAAGGTGAGATCAAGGATCCTCAGGCTAAGCCAACTTACACCGAAAGACTTGAAGGCAGTTGACAGTTGCACCTATGGCACAGACAAGGCGCAAGTTAATTTTTGTTATTACATGGGCACTTTTCAAGTGTTAAGTAATTAATTATTAGGCTATTTACAAGACTAAAACACTATCCTAAACTATTCAGCCTACTTATGTATGGTATAGGTCTATTTCATTAGGCACAGGCTTTTTGCATAGAATATTAAATATGCTTTAAACTTTTGGTTGAAACTGAATTGGCATTTTTTTAAAACAGTAGTGGGGCAAACTCTACTAGACCAGAGTTGTCTTGTGAGCTTTTAGTTATGTTATAATGCTGTTACCTCCTCAAAAACATGTTTCGTTTCATTCACACACATTTGAGTAACCCTTTATTATTAGTCTGTCTACATCTTAAAAGCTCAAAGTGCTCTATTCCACCTTGTGATGTCATGAAACAGTAGTTTTCATGTTATCTTTGATCTTTAGTTCAGTAGAGATTGGCAGTTCCAAGGCTGAAATTATACAAATGATTATAGTGAAAGTGTATGGAGTTTAAAAACATAGTGCAGCACTTCCTTTATTATCACATGACATCACAAGGTGGAACAGAGTATTTTCTGTTTGAGAGAAGATCTAAGCCTAATTATGCAGGGTTTGCATGTTAAACATGAGTGAATGAAACAAAACACAACTCCTGATATGTTTGTGATGAGGAAACAACATTATAACATAAATCAGAAAATAACCAAATATGGGACCCTTAACAGTGACATGACAGAGTCTTGGACAATGCCTAACATAGGCCTACATGTTGTCATATTATACAGTCATAGGCAAATAAACTATTATGAGTCTAAACCTAATCAAAGGCTTATGTTATTACCTGAAGTCATTGTATGTAGTCATAACAATTTGTGCATTATTAGCCTGCATTGTTTGTATTCACTGACTCTTGTTTTGTTGTAATTGGAAACAGTATGTGGGGAGTCTTGTGCCCAGGCCCAACAGTCGAATGGAAATTGTAGCTGCCATGAGGAGAATAAGGGTAAGAACTCATCATCAACCATTAGCGTCTGTTGCATTTTGTGCGGACCATATCAATAGCCAATGAAGAATAAGTAGGCCTATTATAACATTAGGTAAAAAGCTTGCCTAACCCTGTTTCATAGAGTTAGGCCACACATGATTTCCTTCTGTGTTATTATAGTGTCACAGTGAGTATCATGTTATATTTCTCCCACTCATCGTCCCCATGGACAAGCATTTATCCAGAGCTCCCTCAGAGCGATACTGAGAGCTGCGGTTACTTTGACAGTGGACCACAACAGGGCACATTGCTGCAGCTGAAAATGCAAATCATGTGGCAAGAAGCTTTGACATTCATGTGTGTTTTAATGTTAGGGAAAGGGGTGCACAATCCTATCTGTTTTGTGGCACAATGAGCACTTTTCAGAAACGTAGTGTTTATGAATGTATCGGGTGAGTGAAGTTTTTTTTTTTTTTTCTGAGAGACTGTTGCATGTATTCACCACCTTCAGAATATGCATAAGAAGAGTTGTTTAACTTAATCTGTGTCAGCCTGGGAAAATGCAACCTGCCAAAGGCCCATGACAGCATAGACAAATATGTATTTATTTGACAGGGAAAGCACAATAAATCATTGCCACCAAAGGTGACCAATGCCATGTACCATGTCTAGTCCCTGGTTAATTTGCGGTCCCCATCTCTGGTTACTTTGAAGGTTTTAATACAGAATATACTAAAATAAAACATTGAATGTGGAACTGATGATCATTGCATTGTTTTCTGTCCATAATTTTTATTATTTGGTTATGTATGAATATGTGAGAAAATCATAACTTGCATTTACAGCAGGGTTATTTTCATTTTGGATATTTTCAACATAGAAAATAGTATAGTAGTATAGAAAATGTAATTACTATTTATCTAACAATATCTAAGGTAAATATAAGTAACCTCAAGAAGTCTTATTACAGTATAATACAATAAGATTTGACATGTGAGACAGATAAGATTTTAATGTGAGACATTTACAGTAGTAGTAGTAATTTGTGTGAGTATAGGGCAGTGCTCTACAAAGTAAGGCATTTCTTTCAGATAGAGTGCATCTCTTTCCATGTACCCCTATTCTATTCAAAGAAACACACTTGTTTATTCATATCTGTTCTGTTTGTGTGTGTCTATAAGTAAGTTCCCAGAAGGGCTAAAGAAAGCCTTGGATCAATAATAAATAAGATGTTGGATGATGGGTATGCTTTTGTGTATGGAGGGCTTATTTTAATGGGTTGTATAGGAAAGATATGTTTAGATTTTTTATTTTATTTTTGCCAAGGTTAATAAAAGGAAACGCATAACTCATAAATAATTTCTACGTAGATAAAAATATTCTCTTTAATGGCACAAACCAAGCAGTGTTGAGTTTGCTAGTTGTTAGTTTTCTATTTGTTCTTCTTTTCAAAATCAAAATAGCCTTTAGAGGTACTACCCTGGTTCAATAGTCTTGGGAATACTATTTTTACCAAGCACTTAGCTCTATGTTTGAGTGGCATGTCTCGCAGTCTTGCTCCATTGTTGGAAGTGCAGAAGTTGGAGCATTATAGAGGGCACCAGTGTTTCCCATTGCCAAGTGGATGAATACTTGCTCTTTTTCCAACTTCTTCCCTCTCATTTTTTTTTGTAAACTGTACAGGGTGTCAGCAGACTTGTGTGTGATTAAAGAGAGCTATAGGGATGATAGCAGCAGCACTGGTTTTGGAGAATCCAGAAGGATAGTGGCACAGGGCTGGCAGAGTCGTAGTCCTTTCATCTTGTGTGGCTAATCGTTTTAGTCTCAGTCTATGGAAGAAAAAGAAGCAGCAGGAAACATGAGAAGAGACTGAGGAAGCTTTAGCATCATCTTTGAATGAGGGAACAGAACTGGACCAACCATGAACTGCACAAAGCATTTTGCAGACACTAGTTTACCTTCTTTCCTATTGTGAAATGAACCTACCTGTTCTTTTACAAGAATGATGCTCTTATTATTATGTCTCTCAGTTGTTTGGTGTGGACTTTAGACTTTGTGAACCAATTGCAATGATGCTTGCAAACCAATAATTAGTGATAAAAGGGCATTGTACAGGAGTATGTTTCTCACTAATGAAGAAACGATGAGGAGGGTGCTTTTGAGTCTCTCAAAAATATCCACTGCTCTCTACCTCCACACTAACAATGTTTATTTTCTCATCATACTGTCACCCTCCTCCAACCAAAATACTGTTGTTTTGGTCCATCTCTGGTCCCTCAGCGTTGACAGAAATAGATTTTAGGCTGAAGCAGGCTATGCATCTCTTTGCATTTTGATATTAATATTTACAATTTATATATTCAACTAATCACATTTAGTTGATTCAATGTTTCACTCCTAAATAAGTTTCCCTCACAGGTCCACCTCCTCCCCCTGCTGTCAGGAGATTTTCTAAAAATGACAAGACTTCAGGATTTAACCTATTGTCTCAGCTGCATGATAGGGCCTAGGATACTTGTTTGTTTACTTTTGGCTTTTTGAGACACGCTTTCTGATGCAACCCTCTTCCCATATCTGAGATCCTTACAAAACACATTTTAATGGTCTTGATAAAATGAAGGATATACTAAAAATACATATAGAAGGTGCCATACTGCTCATTAAATCCAAGTGTGTGTATGCTTCATCTGTGAGTGTATACTATTAGTGAGTTTATACTTTATCTGCTGGAGATAAATGTTTGAATAATCAATCAATGTCTTTGAAAAGTAAAAGGCAAAGAGAGTGACTGGATTTCTTATTAACAATGTAAACTCAATAAATGTGAATGATTTTATAGAGCATTAATATAGCTTACAGCAGAAAGTAAAGGAAAGTCCTTAATTGAATAGAAAAACAGTCTGTGCAAACAGCTGCATCAATCTTAACAATTTAATTTATTGCTTGCATGGCAATCCAGAAAAAGTTTAGTTTTATTCTTCAAAATTTGGCAACAAACTCATTTTCATTTGAGTGATATATTGTAAGCTACCGTAAACCACAGACTTAATTTACATAACAATAACTCAACACGCCTGTCCCAAAAAAACAGACTAGAAATGAGAGCACAGCTTGACTCCTGGGGCAGGGGGGTTTGGATCTATTGCACAGAGGCTTGTTGGTTAGGATATTTAGAGGAGCATGACACATAAGGGGCGAGCATTGCTTTGTCTTGTATCATGCTGGCTTAATGGCAGATGTACAAGTGCTGCATAGTGGTGACCTAAATGTGTTCAATTGAGAATCATGACTGGGCACCTCTCTGAGCATCTTATCATGCTCAATAATAATAATAATGCAGTGGATTTATAAAGAGCCCTTTATAGAGACACCCAAAGCACTTTACATTGCATTATTCATTCACTCCACACTCCGTGGTGGTAAGCTACTAGTGTTGTCACGATAATAACATTTCATTTCAGACTCGATTTCAGTACTAAAGAATTCACTCAATACTCAATACTGATATTAAAATTAAGATTAAAATTTGTTGTAATAGAATTTAATTTTCATTTACAAATAATAACACTTTCTTTATCTTAGTATGACATTTTTATTTATTTTCTTTCTGTACTAAAACAAAAAAATGTGTCCTGTTAATTTGATTTTATTCCATATCAATCCTGGTCAACCTGGTCATCTGATAGTTTCAATATTACTTTTAGAATCGATTAGTATCTGATTTTCAATACTTTAGACAACTGACAGAAGCAAGGCTGCCAAACTGTGCTATTAGCCCCTACAACGACCACCAACACTCGCTCGCACACACCACATTCATACTAGGCAATGTGGGTGAAGTGTTTTGCCCAAGGACACAACTACAATTTCCACAAGAGCCACTGCTGTTCCATTGTGGCACCTAGTATTCCCATCCTAATTCTAAACAGGCTCGCCTTTGCTTATCCTCCAAGATTTCAAAAAACCCAACCTATGTCAAAAATATATTGTTATACCATTAAAGACTTTTTCTATAGTGATCCACTGAGGCTTTGGTCACATGGTGGGCCTAACAGGGTGACCCTTCTGCCAGCCTTGATGCAAGCAGCCATCCCTTAAGGCAATGACTTTCAGTGCCATGGTCAAGTCCTAAGTAGCTTCTCATCCAACATGCCCTCAGAAAAAAGGCCAGAGTAATGCACTGAGCATTTCAGTACACCTCTATGGCCTTCAAACTGCCTAAGGGGATTTCTAGTGATTTTTTTGACCCAATCTTCTAGCGTTCTTATTAGCATCAACTACTTCAAATATTTTAAAAAATATATATAAACAAATGTAAAAAAAAAAAAAAAAAAAAGGAAACTATGTAGTATTTTAGACATGGGGACACATTTAAAGGAGAGTCCACTGTTGCTTCTCTCCATGGAAATGGAAAAAATTGCTTTGCTTTGTTTTGCTTAGAATGTTCCACAGTATGGCATTAAACTATCTGTATCTATAGGAAAGGTGTCACTCACCAGTTACATGTTAGATCTGTAGAGGAGCGACTTAAATAGTTATGTTTATTAAACATGTGAAGTATGTAAAGTAAAGTAATTGAACAATAGCTCATACAGTGCAGCATTTCAGCAGAGGCAAAAACATCTCCATGGAGGTGGTGAACTCCCCACAGACAGGTGAATAACCTGAGCTGTGCAATTTGATTTAGCATAATCTAAAAAAGCTGTAGGCAAAGCAGTAGGCATGACATGACAATTGCATTAACTCCCTCTTTACTGCATCACTAGACTAAAACAAAAATGTATATCTTGAATTTTTCACAATTTTCTTTATGCTACACTGATTTTCATTTGACTAAATTGGTTATTTGCCTCTCACATTTTTTTCTAATTTGAATACCAGCAAATGCTCAGTTGACACATTTTGCATTGCCAAGTTTGCAACATGATAAATTCTCTCTTTGCAGTGCGAGTGACTATTGTAGAAAGTTGTAATCACTTGAAACTTTGTGATGGAGAACCAGTAATGTCAACTGACTC